GGGGGCGGGGCCCGTGGAGTGTCCTCTTTTTGGACACTCAAAATATGGTAACCCTAAATAAAAAGGCCTCAGGCAATTCTAATCCAAACACAACGCGTGGTCGTTTTTCCACAACACTGGGAAGGGGTAACTTCAGGTCAATTAGGGACACCTGAGTCCAATTAAGGGCTGCCTGAATCCTGTTAAAATCTCTCTCCTGGTGAGAGTGAGGGGAGAGACAAACTGCTGCAAGCTAGAGGTAACAGGGAGATAGGCTTCTCCAGCGTGAGAGACTGTGCTCCTCCCCATAGGGGAGACACCCAAAACCCAGTGCCTGTTTAGGGGAAGGACTGACACCCTGGGGCCAGTGACAGGACAAGGCCTGCCCCAGTGAGGGGGCCAGGGAAAGGTATTCCCTTTTTGTTTTGGTGCTTTATAGATTTGTTCCCCTTGTTTGGCAGAGGAGCACTCCTCAGGCCTGCCCCGAGGCCTACTGGGAAGGCTCTGAGAAACAAACCCTGAAGAGGGAAGCCAGACATGGGCGCTCATTTACCCCAGGCCCTGTCCCTGCCAGAGGAGGGCGTACTAAGCCCGGCGTGGCAGAAGGGGTGCCTTGCACACTGTACATGCAGGAACTCTGAGTTCTGGCAAGGTCATAAAACAGAGAAGTGTTTTTATCTAAATCAGCATTTCACTAGAGAAATCTGCACTCATCCGTATGGACAAGAGGCAGATCTGGCGCTAAGTAAAGACCAAAGCCACCTCCTGTCTGACAGCCCCTGCACTGTTAAGGAGTTTGAAAGTCTCGGGGCAGGAAAGCATCCAGCCGGAGCAGAGGGAAACAATCTCATAGTTGGGACTCGCCTTCCAGATGATCTCATGATATCCTCTCGCACTGAGGATACCCCCCTGGGGAGCAGGCAGGGACCCCAGTAATTAGCAAGAGACAGGCAATAGTAGTGGTGGATTTGATTATTAGAAATATAGATAGTTGGGTTTGTAACTACCGGGAGAACCACGTAGTAAATTGCCTGCTGGGGGCGAAGGAATGGACTTCACGAGACATCTGGATAGGCTTATAGGTAGTGCTGAGGAGGAACCAGTGGTCATGATACATGTAGGTACCAGTGACACAGAGAAAAGTAGGACTGAGATCCTGGATGCCAAATTTAGGCTTCTAGAGGAGAGATTAAAGTCCAGGACTTCCATGGTAGCATTCTCTGAAATGCTTCCAGTTCCATGTGCAGGGCCAGATAGACAGGCAGAACTGCAGGGTCTCAATCTGTGGATGAGATGATGGTTTAGGGAGGAAGGATTTAGGTTTATTAGGAACTGGGGAATCTTTTGGAGAAGGAGTAGCCTATACAGGAAGGATGTGCTCCCCACAAACCAAAATGGAACCAGATTGCTGGCATGTAAAATTTAAAAGGTTGTAGAGGATAATTTTTTAAACTAAGGGGTTGGAGGAAAGCCGACAAGTGCAGAAGAGTACATAGTTTGGGTGGCGATATCCCGTAGGGAAGAATTTATTAAAGGTGAGACTCTATATCCTCGTGTAGAGGAAAGGAAAGAAGTTGATAAAGTACAGGTAGGAGCTAGCTACTGAGGAACAGTCAACATAAAAAAGTCCCATTTAAATATACCACATGAAGGCAAACAACTAAATATTGACGAAACGTACAAGGGCTTACTTCCAAAAACTAGAAGTCTAAATACTAAGATTGGTGAACTAGAGTGCCTGGCATTAAATGAGGACATTGATATAATTGTATCATGGAAACTTGGTGGAATGAAGATAATCAATGGGGCATGGTAATACCAGGGTAAAAAATGTATAGGACTGATACTTAGAGTAGGTCACGTTGGTTGAGTGAGTGGCACTATATGTTTGAAAAAAAAGCAGAGCGTCAAGTAAAGTGAAAATCTTAAATGAATACAACTATACCACTGAATCACTATGGCTAGAAATGCCATGCTTGAATAATAAAATACAACAGAAATATACTATCCAGCTCACGATTGGGATGGTTATAGTGAAACGCTAAGGAAGGGTAGAGAGGCTACAAAAGCAGACAGTGTAATAATAATGGGTGATTTCAACTATCCCCATAGTGATTGGGAACATGTCACCTCTGGATGTGATGCAGAGATAAAATTTCTAGACGCTACAAATGCAGCTAGGCAATTCTTGATTTAGTTCTAAGTGAGGCACAGGATCTGGTCCAGGAGGTAACTTTAGCTGAGCAACTTGGTAATAGGGGCCATAATGTAATTAAATGCAACATACTGTAGGGGGGGGGAATATTAAAAAAAAAATCACAGTAACATTTAATATTAAAAATGGGACCTAGACAAGAATGAGGACACTAGTTAGAGGGAAATTAAAAAGAGCACTCACAAGGGTAAAATGCATGCAAGCGCATGCAGACTACTTAAAAACACCATAATAGAGGCTCCGACTAAATGTATACTTCAAATCAAAAAAGACAGTTGGAGGACCAAAAGAATGCCACCATAGCTAAACAACAGAGTAATGGAGGCCATTAGAGGCAAAAAGACATCCTTTAAAATGTGGAAGTCAAATCCTAATGAGGAAAATAGGAAGGAGGACAGACTCTGGCAAGTAAACTGTAAAAGTGCAATAAGGCAGGCCAAGAAAGCATTTGAGACGCAACTCGTTATAGATGCAAAAACTAACAGTAAAAATTGTAAGTATATCAGAAGCAGGAAGCCTGCCAAACAGGTAGTAGGGCCACTAGATGACAAAGGTATTCAAGGGGCACTCAAAGGCCATCACAGAAAAGCTAAATTCATAATTTGTATGGGCCTTTACTGCAGAGGATGAGGGGGAGATAACCACAGAGAATAGCTCTGATGTGGGTAACAAATTTGAAATACTGATGTATTCAAATTGATGTGTCAGTAGAAGAGGATTTAGAGCAAATCAATAAGTTAAACAGTAGTAAGTCACCAGGACCAGATGGTGTTCACCCGAGAGTTCTGAAGGAAATCAAATATGAAATTGCAGAACAACTAACTGTGGTATGCGACCTATCACTGAAATCAGCGTCTGAACCAGGTGACTGGAAGGTAGCTAATTTAATGCTGATTTTTTGAAAAGGGTTCTGGGGAATATTCTGGCAATTACAGGCTGGTAAGTCTAATTTTAGTACTGGCAAATTGGTAGAAATTATAGTAAAGAACAGAATTATCAGACACATTTTTGATGAACACAATTTGTTGGGGAAGAATCTACATAGTTTTTGTAAAGGGAAGTCATGCTTCGCCAAATCCTCTGATGTAGTCAACAAGCAAGTGATAAGGGCAAGCCAGGCAATATAGTGTACTTGGATTTTTAGAAAGCCTTTGACATGGTCCCGCATCAAGGGTCTTAAGGAAACTAAGTAGCCATGGCCAAAGAGGGAAGGTCCTCTCATGGATCAATAATTGGTTGCCAGGCAGGAAACAAAGGGTAGGAATAAATGGTCATTTTTTTCACAATGGAGAGAGGTGAACAGTGGGGTCCCCCAAGAATCTGTACTGGGACCCCATGCTGTTTAGCATATTCATTAAAGATCTGGAAAATGGGGTGAACAGTGAAGTGGCAAAATTTTCAGATGATAACTAGCTTGAATAATTTTGTAAGTCCAAAGAGGACTGTGAGGAGTTACAAAGGGATTTCACAAAACTGAATGTCTGGGCAACAAAATGGCAGTTGAAATTCAGTGTTTATATATTTGGCATATACAATTTGGTCAAGCTAAGCCGCAGTGGTCTTACCAATGACGTTCAAAGCACAAAGACCTCCAGGAAGTTGAGTCATTTTTCATCCTCAACAATATGTGTCATGGTTTGTGGCTGCTCACACTGTCATAGTGGACTGTCTCTAAAATGCTAATGAAATTCTACTGCAGCACAGATTCCATGTCTGGTACGAAACCAGTTCAGAAGCCTCCATTTTTTCGCAGTCAATCAAACCCAGGTTGACGTTGAGTGGGGTCTAAGACAAGATAATTATTTGTCACTTTCTCTGCGGACCATGAAGTTCACCATGTGTACTCTACTGTAAATCCCTCACCCAGTTAATTTATCCACAGCGGACACCATGAGGGCAGAAGACCA